CCCCGCCCTCTGCCTGACAGAATCCCCAGCCCCGCCCCTCTACCTCACAGAACCCCCAGCGCCGCCCCTCCTACCTCACAGAACCCCCAGCCCCGCCCCACCTACCTGAGCAAACTGCTGCCCGATGCAGGAGCGGGGCCCGAGGGAGAAGGGGAAGTAGGTGAACCGAGGCCTATGGAGAAAGAGGGGTCAGGAGGCAGGCAGCCAGGGCACCCCAGCGGCACACAGAGCTCTGGGGTTGGATGACAGTAATGACAAGCCCTTCCTTGTGGATTACCGGCTGTGTGCTAGGGGCTAGGGGCTTTGCAATCTCTAAAAACAACATAGGTCCCTGGATGGCACAAAGTTTGCACCTGCTTGACTGCTAACCTAAAGGTTGGCAATTCAAACCCACCTAGCGGTACCATGGAAGAAAAGGCCTGGCGATCTGCTTTTGTTTAAGATTACAACCAAGAAAACCCTACGGAGCAGTTCTACTTTGCACATGTGGGGTTGCCAGGAGTCGGAAGGGACTCGACAGCAACTAACAGCGACGTCAACAGCTGACTCTGCTAAGCTCAGGCTTTGCACTTCTCACTGTAGCCTCCTCTGGACCCTCCCAAAGGAGCTGTTATTATGCCTGTATCACCGATGAAGGGGAAACTGAGGCTCAGAGAGGTAGGGCGACTCCCCCAAGGTGGTTTGGCACTTACTCATTGGGTTGGTTTCATGCTCAGCTCTGGGCAGAGCCTGGATGTCCCGCTCTCCCCGCCCACCGCTTCACTACGTGATCACACTAACTCCCACAACCTCGAGACGGAGCCATTAGTATTCCCATTTCTCAGATGGGAACATCAAGGCTGGGAGAGGGAAAGTCCCTTGCCCATGTCACATAGTTCCCAGTATAAGGTGCTGGTTGTGAGCATGGGCTTTACAGCCAGACTGAGCTGGGTTCAATTTCACTTACTGGCTGTGTGTCCTTGGGCAACTGACCTAGCCTCTCTGAGCTGTGATGCCCCCTGGTAAAACCGGGTAAAATCACAGTCCCTTCACAGGGAGCTGGGGGGCCATGTGTGGTCAGTGGGCGCAGGCGGCTCAGATCAGAGGCAGCTGTGGCCGTCCTTCTCCCAGGCCTCCACCCGGGGACAGCTTGAGGAGGGTCTTACTTGGGTGCTCCGGGGCTGAAGCGATCGGGGTTGAAAGTCAGTGGATCCTCAAAGTACGTGTCCATCCGACCCATGATGTAGGTGCTGAACTGTCGGGCAAAGGGTCTGCTTGTCTCTGGTTCCAGCCTGGACTTGTCCCCTCACACTTCCCCCACCCACTGTGGCCACTGAGTCCCAATGGGGTGACTCAAAGCAAAGTGGCCACTCCCACTCCACCCGCCTCTCACAGCAGGAGTGGGATTCCACGGGCCCCTGAAAAGTCCGTAAGAGGAAGAAAAGGGTACCCAAAGTACCAACGCACCCACTGATGGCCACCACACTACATTATCCCTATTTTACAGATGAGGAAACTGAGACCCAGAGAAAGGCTCAGTGACTGCCTGAAGTCACCAGCAAGTAAGATGCAAATTCAGGTGAGGCCACCTTTCTTTAGATCCCTGAAAACTTGTTGTTATTCAAAGGCTTCTCTTCAACTCCAGGCTTGCTTCAGTGGGGGTGGGGGAGCAGCAGACCCCCATCAGCCTTTCACTTGCATGACGTGGTGGCCCCTGACTGATGCTCTGTACCCCGGCCTCCATGCATCTGGCCTTGGAGAAGCAATAGCTCTACCCCACTCCTGCATCATTAGGACCCTGGGTCCTGCCCTCTGCCCCTTCCACCCTTGGACAAATCCTCATCTGTGCCCACTCCACCTCTGGTTCTCTGTGCTGAGAATCCAGGGCAGCCAGGGCTGTAGGGAGAAAGGCTGGAGGGGGCTGAGCTCTGAGAAATGACTGGGAGCATTGAAGGGGTATTGAGGTCAACAAAGGGCACCTACAATGTGCCAGGGATTTTTGCCAGACATCCATTATTGTATTGATTCTTCTCAATAAACTGTGGCTTAGGTACTATCATCTCCCATCTTACAAGGATGAAACCAAGGTCCAGAGAGTCAAGGCATTGCCTGAGATGACCCAGAGAGCTGGGAGAAAGGCTGACATTGGAGCTTGGGTCTGCCCACGCAAAGCCCACGTAGCTCTTCAACCCCAGGTTGAAAGTCAGCCACAGGGATTTGCCCTGCCCTAACAAACAAATCTCTGTCCATTAAAGCCGCCCATTTGCAGTATTTCTGTTATAGCAGCACTAGGAACTAAGACGGAGTGGGTGAGGAACATGGTTAGTGGGCGTCTGAATTGACAGAGCCACTGTGGAAAACAATTTGGCATCAGTTTGTAAAGTCAAACATTCATATGTCCTACAGCTCAGTCATCCACTCCTGGTCACATGCCCAAGAGACATCTATAAAGAGAAGATTGATCATTAAGGCAGAGAGCTATTGATACAGGCGTAGAAAAAAGAAAAAGATCAACAGAATAGAAGAAAGAGCCACACAGATGAAACAGTGATAGATGTAGAGAAGACCTAGGGCTGGAAACTTGGTTATTTATATGTAAAAATAAAAATGGATCCCTACCTCACACCATACACAAAATCAGTTCCAGGTAGATTACAAGACAAAACTAAAGAATTGACTGTTAAAAAGTCAAGAACTTCAGATCATCAAAAACATCTTAACAAAAACATGTCCCCAGTCTGGAGAAGATAGTTGGAACACATATAATTGACAAAGGATTAATCAATGAATTTTTTATAAAGCTCCTACACAGCAGTAAGAAAAGACATACAACCTGATAGGCAGAAATGAACAAACACCTCCCAGAAGAGGAAAAGTACGTGCAGGGATGCTCAACCTCATCTGTAATAAAAAAAAAAACCCATTGCCATTGAGTCAATTCTGACTCATAGCGACCCTGTAGGACAGAGTAGAACTGCCCCATAGGGTTTCCAAGGAACGGCTGGGGGATTCAAACTGCCGACCTTTTGGTCAGCAGCCGAGCCCTTAACCACTGCGCCACCAGGGCTCCATTTGTAATCAGGAGAGTGCAAATCAAGACCAGAGGGATGAAAATGTTCTAAAATTCGCTGTGGGGAAGGTTGCACACATCTGTGAATATGCTAAAAAAAAATCTGGCTTGTACACTTTAAATGGGTGAATTGTTTGGTACATGAGTTCTAGCTCAATAAAGTTCTTTAAAAAAAAACCACTACAATGAGATACTTTTTTATACCTATTTGATTGGCAAAAATTAAGAAATTGGACCATACCAAGTATTGCAGAAGGAGCCTGGTAGCACAGTGGTTAAGTGCTCGGCTGCTAACCAAAAGGTTGGAGGTTCAAACCCACCAGCTGCTCTGAGGGAGAAAGATGTGGCAGTCTGCTTCCATAAAGATTACAGCCTTGGAAACCCTATGGGGCAGTTCTACTCTGTCCTATAGAGTCCCTATGAGTCGGAATTGGCTCAATGGCAACGGGTTAAGTGTTGGAGAGTATTATGGATTGAATTGTGTCCCCAAAAATATGTATTGTAAATCCCAATCTCTATGCCTGTGGTTATAATCCCATCTGGGAATGGGGTGTCTCCGTTATGTTAATGAGGCAGGATTAGTGTAGGGTGTCTCTTGAGTCAATCTCTTTTGAGATATAAAAAGAGATTAAACAAGCAGGCAAGAGAAGCAGAGATGGGGGAAGAGAGATGCCAAAACATATGAAGCTCACCCAGGAGCAGAAGCTCAAAGAAACAAGGACCTTCCTCCAGAGCCAGCAGAGAGAGAAAGCCTTCCCCTAGAGCTGGCACCGTAAATTCAGGCTTCTAGCCTCCTAACTGTGAGAAAATACATTTCTGTTTGTGAAAGCTGCCCACCTGTGGTATTTCTGTTATAGCAGCACTAGATAACTAAGACAGAGTGGATGAGGAGTGTGGTTAGTGGGCGTCTGAATTGACAGAGCCATTTTGGAAAACAATTTGGCATCAGTCGGTAAAGTCGAACATTCGTAATGTCCTACAGCCCAGCCATCCACTCCCGGGCACGTGTCCAAGAGACACTCGTGCACATGGGCACCATGACAAATGGACAGGAACTCACAGCAGCAGCAGTGAATAGACTAGAAACTTCTCAAATGCTGCAGAACAGATAAGCAAATGATGGTCTCTTCACACACCAGAGCACTACACAGCAGTGAAAATGGATGGGCTACAGTCGTAGGTAGAAACCTACACGGATCTTAGAAGTCATTATGCTGGGTCAAAAAGCGAGTTCCAGAACATATATTGTGTCAATACATGCACACTAAAACTAAACGGAAAAGGTGAGGGAACGGCCAGCACAAAATTCAGGACGGCGAGTGCTTCCGGGGAAGAAGGGAGCGGAAACATGTAACTGATTCTACTCTAGCTCTGCAGGCTGGGTCGGGGGTCTGGGGAGGCCGTTAGGAATGAATGCATAAACGCATGGGTAAGTAAACAGACAAAAAGACACAGTTTCAGAGTGGGGGGAGTGGGGAGTCAGCCACAGGGGAACGGGCTGTGGAATAGGCAGAGGAGAAGAAACCAGGACACATTTGGGTCAGATGTGAATCAGGGCACAGCCCGTGTCTGCCCTCGCCTGCTGTGTGATCTCAGGGAAGTGACCTAACCTCTCTGAGCCTCTGCCTCAGCCGTAAATGTGGCATCGTCTGCCCAGAATTACCCTCTGTGATCTTACACCAGGCAGTGTGGATTGATCAGGAGGAAAAGACCTCCCAAGATTATGGTGAGGCTCAAATGAGAAAGCGTGGGGCGGCCAGCAAGCCCTGTGAGGAGCCCCGAGCCACAGACTTCCCTGACCTCAGGCAGGGGGACCCCAAGCGGACACACACCAGGAGCGGAGTGTTGCCAGGAACTCTGACCCCGTCGATCAAGGTCTCCTCCTCCAGCCGGCGGAAGGTGCCCCAGGCCGGCGGGTACAGCCGCAGTGACTCTTTGAGGACCTGCAGAAGCCACACAGAGACATAATTAGAGAAGTCAGGGGATCCCTTAGGGGCAGCGGTGTGCCCAGACCCGTCTCTGCTCCCACTCACAGTGGGAGCCATGGGGGCTAGTGCAGAGCCACCTTGGGGCCTCGCCTTCCTATCCAACCCCCGGAGTGACAGATGGGGAAACCGAGGCCCAGAGGAGCAGGGCACTGTGCAAGCCACAGTGGCTGAGCTGGGACTAGAACCCAGGCCTCCCTCTGAACCAGGGTTCGCCATCCCACAGAACCACTGAAGAATGAGCAGCGCTTCCTGCTGGATTGAGCATGGCTCCTGCTCCCGGCTGGGCCTGGCCCCCCCGTGGGAAGCTTAAGGCTTCTGGAGCCCAGGCCCAGGTGGGAAATGCAGACACAGACGCGTTTACTAAGGGGCTGGGCTCCGAACTTGGATGATGGAGTGGCCTAGAAACAAACAGAAAAACTAAACCCATTGCCATCGAGTTGATTTAGACTCATAGCGACCCTATAGGACAAAGTAGAACTGCCCCATAGGGTTTCCCAGGAGTGCCTGGTGGATTCGAACTGCCCACATTTTGGTTAGCAGCCAAGCTCTTAACCACTATGCCACCTGGGGAGCCTTACAAATACTGCTGCCTGGGTCCCACCTCCCACGACTCTGATGTCATGGGTCTGGGGTGCAGCCTGGGTGTTGGGAATTTTTAAATCTCCTGAGTGGTCGTGCTATGCAGCAGAGGTCGAGGGCCATGGCCCTAAAGGATACAGGTAGGCAGCAGGCCCAGAAGCTTCTCTCCCGCATCCCACACCTGGGAGAGGTACTGCAGCCTCCCCAGGTCCTCACAGTCAAGGTGCCTCTTAGAACCCACGACCTCGTCCACCTCGGCCTGCAGCCTGTAGGGGAAGACAGAGAAGAGTTAGGCTCCAACCAGACTTTTCTCTACAAGAGTTTTAAGAGTGGGGGATGGGAGGAAGCACGGGCTCCTGTGAACAGACACTGCCCCACCCTGTTGTTAAAGATACCCAGCTCATATCGTGTCCAAAGCTAAGTGCTCCAGCCATTTGCAAGTATGTTCCAGAGGCCTTAAAACATTCACCCCTTGTGTCTACTTGGAATCTGCTGTAGGAAATAAATGCCACACATCGCAGAACAAGACCTGACCGGCAGCGGCCAGCAGCTGGAAAACGTCAGCATGGGCGGCACACGGACACGTGGCAAGTGAACTTGAGGACGTCCCTTGTTAGAGTGATATGCAGCATTACAAGTGGATGTGGTCGATCATTGTTGAAGTTGAGTGATGGGTGCATGGGGATTATACTATTCTTTCTACTCTGGTGTACGTTTGAAATTTTCCATAATAAAACATTAAAAAAAAAAGTGGATCTGGTTCTCCAAAGACAATATACAAATGGCCCAGTAAGTATCTGAAACGATATCTCAATATCACTTGTCATTAATGAAACACCAATCGAAACCACAATGAGCCACCACTTCACGCCCACGCAGACAGCTATGGAAAACACACAAAAAAATGACACGCATTAGTGGGAAGTAGAGAAACTCCTAGGAGGACTGTAAAACGGTGCAGCCGCTGCGGAAAACTGTCCGTGGGCCCTCAGAAAGTTAATCATAGCATTGCCGTATGACCCAGCAATTCCACTCCTAGTTACCTACCCAAAAGAACTCAAAGCAGGTGTTGAAACAAAACCTTGTACATGAATGTTTGCGGCAGCATTATTCACAATAGCTCAAAGGTAGAAACAACCCCGTGTCCGTCAGATGAATGGATAAACCGATGCGGTCTATACATAGCATGCAATATTATTCAGCCCTAAAAAGGAGTGACGTTTTAATATATGCCACAACATGGATGAACCTTGAAAACATGCTAAATAAAATGTCAGATCCAAAAGGACAAATACGGTTTGATCCCACTGACATGAAATCTCTTGTAGAGAGAAGGTTAAATGTCACCGGGGCTGGGGCGGGGACGGGGGGTTGTCGCTTATAGGTTCTGTTTAGGGAGGTGAAAAACGTTTGGAAATAGACAGTGGTGATAGTCGTATAGCATGGCGAGTGTCTTAACGCCACTGAATTGTGTACTTAAACACGGTTAAAATGGCACATCTTATGTCCTATGTATTTAATCACAAAATTGAAAAAAGTGGATTTGGCGAGCAGTAACGCGGCCGATGCTGTGATAATCAGAGCTGCTGGGCGGTCAGGTGGTAAGAAGCCCAGCAAAGACCTGTGCGCTGAGACAAAAGGGCGGAACAGAGATTCAGCCATGAATGGTGCATTACCTCTGGTGGCTGGGGCACCGTGAGTGGTTTTTAAAAATTATTATTATTTTAACTTTTCTGCCTTTTCCAAAAAATTTTTATAAAGAGCATATTACTATTGTATTAAAAGAAAAACCATGAACTATTTTATGCTCTCCAGGCTGTTTCTGCGGCTGCCCTTTCATGCTCGGATGACTCATAGGTGCCGTCAGGGCGTCTCCCGCCCCAGCGCTGCCGCCCCCCAGTCTGCTCCGCAGCCGCTGAGGACTGTTCTCCACAGTATTTAAGAAAACCAAGGGCCCCTTCAATGGCCTCTCCCCAGCACTCTCCTTTGCCTCTGCAGCCGAAGGCTCAAGCTCCCTCAGCTCTTTTCATGGAATTCTGCTGTCGGGCCTCGGTACCCTGCCCTCCTGGAGCTTCTGGTCTCATGGCTGTAATAGGCTTAAAGTAAACTGTCCCAAAAGAAAATATGAATACGCTGGGATGAGTTTAGGAGGTTACTTTAGGGGACAGAGAAGGCTTCTCTGGAGGAAGAAGAGGAGGGGGTGGTGTTCTCCAGGAGGGGAGCAGGAAGGAGAGCGTTTCAGAAGTGGCAACAGCATGTGCAAAGGCCCTGGGGTGAAGAGAAGCAGGAACATTTGAAGGGGCTCAGCCACAGGACAGCAGGAGGTGGCCTCTGGGACCATGACATCAGACAAACCCCTCTGCCAACCTCAAAGTCACTCAGTGTAGGCCCCGTACCTTGCCACAATCTCCGGCTGGCGCGACAGCTCCATCACCGTGAACGCCAGGTGGTTGGCGGAGGTCTCGTGACCTGTGGGAGAGGAGGACAGAGACATCTCCACATGGAGGACAGGGGTCAGGGCCGAAAGTGACCAGAGCTCCCATCATTTCTGCAAAGCCCCGAGCCCCTGGGCACCACCGAAGCTACCAACCAGCAATGAAGAAGGTGACGAAATTGTCCAGCAGAATCTCGTCATCCTGGGCGTCCTCTTCAGCTGAAAGACAAAGAAGAGGCTCAGTCCCCAGGCAACAGATGTCTGCGACACTCATATCCCCGACTCCCTTTCCCCACAGCTCAAAAAAGGACCAACGTCTTTCCCCTTTTAAACCAGACAAGAGACAGCCGGAGTCAGCTGGGGTCAGGACCCTGACAGGAATCCTCTCCTACCCGCCTCAGAGGCAGCCGGCGCACCTTTGAGAATCTGTGTGAGGATGTCCGCGGGGACGTCCTCGCCCCTCTTCAGGGCCTCCCGGCGGCACTGGACCCAGTCCTTGCCAACCTGGCGCAGAAAGCGGATGCTCTCCCGGATCTCGCGCAGCTGCTTCCGCCTCCCTGGTAAAAACTAAACAGGGGTTCCGGCACAGATGGCAGACTGAACACACACATCTCCTCTCCCCTCCCAGCCCCAATTCCAAAATGACTTTAGAAATCCATGGCAGTACTGGCAAGCTGGGAGGCTGGAAGCATGAGAGAAAGCTCTAGAAGAGATGAAGTAGCCAGGGAGACTAAATCAAGATGGCGGCCTAAGCCCAAGCATTGACTTCCCCTTCCCATACCAAATCCCTAGAAATGATGGAAAGATGCCTTAAACATCTCCATGCAGTAATGGAAAAGAAGGGAGTGCTGAAGGATAAGGGCAGTTAGAATTTCATCAGAGGAAATCACAGGCAGACTGAAGTGGAATCAGCTACCAAAGTGAATGAGATGGCACGAGGGGACTGCAAAGCTCAGAGGCTGAAGTCCCAGGAAACAGGAGGGGAACTTGGGCATCATCACTCTGGGTACCACCTTCCCCCTTTCTTCCTTCTTTATGCCTAGAACAAAGAGGTGGTATCTGGAGCTGCAGCACCCACTGTATGACAGTGAAGTGATATGCTAAGGACAGTGGAACAGAAAGACAGAAAAATCCAGGAACATCGGACATTGTGGTGCCATCCCAGATTGCCTGCTTTGAGGATCATTTTACAGGACAGAAAGATTAACTCCTAATTTACTTATTAAGCCACTTTCATTTTGAGCCTCTGCTTTAGGAGATGAATGCAAATCCTAACTGATTCAGAGGGTGAAGTAAATTACTTCAGATACTCCAGAACTTAAAACCCATTCTGAGAAAAATACTGAAGGAGGTGCTCCAGCAAATGAGGAGAACACAGACTGCAGTGGCTGGTCACTAGAGGCAGGGCTGAGGCAGTACCTTTGCCAGGGTGTTGCGGGATGCGGAGATGCCCTCCAACATCACTCTCACTGCCCGGGGCAGAGGCTTCTGGGCATCCAGCAGCATGCTGGTCTCCATCCCAAAAGCTGCCTGGGGGAGAGAGATGAGCCAGCTTATACCTGGGGGATGGGAGGCCAGCAGGTCCAGAGCAGAGCCTGGCACAAGGCAGCTGGAGACCCATACCTTGGGCTAAGGGTTTAGGAGCATCATCTTATCAACTATTACAATGACCCATGATGATTACAACCCCAAGGGATTTTGTGAGAATTAAGAGCACGTAGTAGCTACTCAATAAGCCTTGGTTTCTTTCCCCTGAAATGCAACCTTCCTTGGGTGCCCATTCTACACCCAACTGCACCATGAATTGTTTGAATAACAACGATAATAAGGATGCTTCACTCACTGTCCCCACACCTCAGCTTCCTGACCTGCCTTTATGTTGGGTTTTGGATTATCTGGGCTACTTCTGAGTTGGCCATGGCGGATAACAAAGCCATACCCATTTGGGGGGCCAACCTGAGATCGAGTCCTGCTTCTGCCACTGACTAGCTACAGGCCAGACCCTGCGCTTCTTGGTGTCCATATTTGGAAAATGAGGTCATAGCCCTGATCTCAAGGAGATAAAATATGCGAAGCCCCCAGCACAGAGAAAGGGGTGCTGGTATGTGGAGGAGCAGGAGGAAGGGAGGACAGCAAGGAAGAGCGAAAGAAGAGCCCTGGGCCCTATGGGGTATCCCACCCCCCTGCCCAGCCATCCACCGTCACCTTGGCCAGGATGTCCATGGCGGTGCAGGTCAGCATGTCCTGCATGGACACTGGGGTCTGCCCGTCCGCCTTGGCTTCCAGAATCTCCACCAGTTGCTCGGCCTTCTCATTGAATGTTTCCATCAAGCTAACCAAGGAGCTGGGGGACAACAGAGGTGTCAGCGGGCACCGGGATCAGCCCTGTCCTGTGGGTTGCCTGCCACCCTCCTCCTCTGCAGAGAGGACGTTGTATCCCTTGTACAGAGTAAAGACGGGTGCTCAGCCCACAGGTTAGGGTTGTGGTGACCCAGCTAAGCCCAGGTTTGCACATTTCTTCTCCACTCAGGACAGACAGACATCCCCTTTGCCCTTGTCTTCACGGTTCTACAGGGCCTCTGTCTGCAAATGCAGCCCCTCAACCCTGACCTCCAGGGGACATGGCAGTGTAGACACTCCAGACGACCATGGGAAGGAAGGGAGGAAAGGTCTCTGGGGCCTCCTAGGAGAAGGAGGGTGCCTCAGTGCCCCTCCTACCTCTGCTGGCACTGCCCACTCTCCTTACCTGCCCTGCCCCAGACCTCTACGGGTTTCTGCATTTCACTCCCTCTCCTTGAGCAATCTCAGTGCCCACCCTCCATGGAAATGAGGCCTCAGACACCCTCTGCAGCACAGAGCTCCCAACCCACAGCACCCCTGCCCCTAGACAGCAACCCCAGGATGTCTCCTAGGCACAGAGTTTATTTAGAAAGAGGTATGGAAGCATGCACTCCAAACTCATGAAAATGGTAGCCCCAAGGGAGGAGGGGACTGAGAGAGACTATAACTTTGTACATTACATATTCCAGATTGTCTGAATTTTTACTAAGAGAGTACGCTGCTTTTGTAACTGAAAGTAATTTTTAATGTTAATCGTCTGGGTAAAGGGGATATGGTGTTTTTCATCTTTTCTTACTCTTGCAACTCTGTAAATTTGAAATTATTTCCAAATAAAAAGTTTTTTAAACATTGAAAAGAAAAAAGTGGGAGAGGAGGAGGGATACAGGGTAATTTTTTTCTAATTAGGAAAGAAAGCCAGCCCTGGTCTGGCTCTGGGGCTCTGACTGGGCCCAGCATCCTTGGCCACTGCTCAGTGCCTGCCCACACCTGCTGCACATCTCTTCTTGTGGTTCAGGGCTGCCGGAAAGCACCTGTGATCCGGTGACCCCCTCTCCACCCTAAGATGCTCTGAAGCAATCTGCAACTCTTAGGACAGAGCTGAGACCCTCACCTAAGCTGCGGTGGGTTCGTCCCTTGCCGACTGGTATCTGCAACGTTGTCTTCCTGTCACCACTGCCTCTCAGCTCCTCCAAAGCATCCTGCTCCTTTCCATCTCGGGGCCACTGCACACCTGCCCCCTCCGCCAGGACCACCCTTCCCTCCCACCCTCCATCCTCCTGTGTCCTTGTTAACCATCGCGACCCTTGCCCACTCTGCAGAGGGACTCTCGGATACCACTTCTCTGGGGACATGTCTCCTGAACCCCAGGGAGGCCCAATATATGCTTCCCATAGCACCCTGGACTTTTTCTTCATACCACTTACATGGTTTGTGGTTATATATCTATTTGCAAGATTATATGGAGCTGTTGTTTTTTTAAATAACATTCAAGTTGACTATCTGGATTGCATGTGGCTAGTTATTATACAAATAGCACACTGGGTCTGCAATGGCTCTAAATGGTAACATTTCTTCATAAGAGACTGAATCTCTTATGGTTTGTTGGGCTGGAGTGTCAGCTGGACATTGAAATCTCAACCTTCTTGTCTTTTACAGAAAGAATCAGGACCACGGTCTTTAGGTAAAAGTAATATCTAGAAAAGTAAATCCAATCCATTGCTGTTGAGTCAATTCTGACTCATAGCGACCCTATAGGACACAGGAGAACTGCTTCATAGGGTTTCCAAGGAGCAGCTGGTGGATTCGAACTACCAGCCTTTTGGTTAGCAGCTGATCTTTTAACCACTGTGCCACCAGGGCTCCATCTAGAAACGTAGAAACTGGCAATTTACTCTCACAATTTTATTACAAATATATAGTGATATTCTGTGTGGGTAATGGCAGAGCTGAAACATACCCACAGTCCCTACCTTTTCTTCACTAGTGAATTAGGACCACCCAGGCTCAGTAACGCTTTCATCTATACTTACAAGCATCTTCCAAAGCTTCTTCTCTACTATTTTGTAAATTTTACACTTATGACAAAATAGTCATCTCTAAGATAAGTACTGGACCAAGAAGCAACATCATGATAAAGGGAGAAAAGATTGCAGTTGTTAAGGACTTCATTTTACTTGGATCCACAATCAACACCCGTGGAAGCAGCAGTCAAGGAATCAAAGGACACATTACATTGGGCGAATCTGCTGCAAAAGACCTCTTTAAAGTATTAGAAAGCAAAGACGTCACTTTAAGAACTAAGATCCGCCTGACCCAAGCCATGGTGTTTTCAAACGCCTCATAGGCATGCGAAAGCTGGGTGATGAATAAGGAAGATGGAAGAAGATTGATGTCTTTGAATTATGGTGTTGGCGAAGAATACTGAATATCCCATGGACTGCCAGAAGAACGAACAAATCTGTCTTGGAAGAAGTATAGCCAGAATGCTCCTTAGAAGCACAGATGATGAGACTGTATCTCACACACTTTGGACATGTTGTCAAGAGGGACTAGTTCCTGGAGAAGGACATCATGCTTGGTAAGGTAGAGGGTCAGCGAAAAAGAGGAAGACTCTCAACAAGATGGATTAACACAGTGGCTGCAACAATGGGCTCAAGCATAACAATGATCGTGAGGATGGCGCAGGACCGGGCAGTGTTTTGTTCTGTGGTACACAGTGTCACTGTGAGTCAGAACTGACTCGATGGCATCTAACAACAACAACAAAAAAGATGACTACCTTGTTGTGACACTGAAAAGTAACAGTGTATGCGAAGGACATAACAAGCTCTGAAGTGTTGTGCTGACTCAAGGTTCAAGCCCTCGGAGAGGGCTCACCAAGACAGTGCCCCTGGTGCTCATGTCACAACCACTATGGGTGGTTACCCGGTTAGAATCTATGCCCTCTGCTAACCTCAAAGCTTCCTGAGAGCAGGGACTACAGCAGCTTGGATGACCTTCGTAGCCCTGGCTCTTGGTACTACAAATATTAAATAAATGCCTCTCTTTAGTCTATTCCTTCCCGTTCTCACTTCTGGCAACTTTCCAGGAAGACCAGGATTGTTACACTTCATTAATTCACTCATGCACTCATTCACTCTATAGGTAATCCTGGAGGGTGTCTGGGGTGCCTGGCACTGTGCCGGGTGCAGGGGTCCAGGGACAGGGCACATCTTCTGCCTTTAGGGACCCATGGCCTAATGGGGGAGGCAGATGTGAATGACAGTGGCTGCAGTGGATGTAAGAGGAGCATGTTGGAAGCACAGATTCAGCCTCAAGGATCAGGGAACACTTCCCTGAAGCAGAGATATCTGAGCTGGGTATGAAAGGAGGGCCAGGAATTCCCCAGAGGGGCACATCGAGGCAGAGGGAATGGCGTAAAAAAGGTAGAGATTCCAGAAAGTGCTTAGTGGGTCAAGAAAGATGGGAGAGTGGAGGCAGAGGCTGGGGGACTAAGAGGCAGATTTGGGGTGGGTGGGGTCTGATCTTTGTCTTTAGATAATAGGGAGCCATTGAAGGTTTCAGAGCAGGGAAGTAATGTGGTCAGATCTGAGTTTTAGCAAGATCTCTCCAGGGCAGTGAGAAGGATGCATTGGAGGAGGAAGACAGGAGGCAGGGGGCAGTGAGGGGGCAGCAGCGAAAGTTGAGGCAAGGAGAGTTGTACTGTCCGCCCACAGGTGACATCTGAAATGGTAACTCCACAATGGAGACACCTGGCAGACAGCACCTTAGTCAAGTGATCAAAGTGAGCATCTCCAGAAATAGAACAAATAAGCATCATGCGCCTCCTGATATGATGCACTGAGAAGAACACAACATCACTTCTGTGACATTTCCACCAGAAACTCAAAGACTAGCTCAAATGGAAGGACAGTCTATGCAAATAGCCTGTAATCTTCCAAAGGGTTCAGCTCGTGAAAGTCAAGGAAAGCCTGAGAACTGTTCTAGAATGAGGGAGACAAAAGAGACACGGCAACTAAGTGTCACACTTGATCCTGGATTGGATCCTGGACTAGGAAAATAATAAACCCCATTGCCTTTGAGTCGATTCCGACTCATAGTGACCCTATCGGACAGAGCAGAACTGCCCCAGAGGGTTACCAAGGCTTAATCTTCATGGAAGCTGACTGCCATATCTTTCTCCCGAGGAGCCACTGGTGGGTTCGAACCTTCTACGTTTCGGTTAGCAGCTAAGCACGTTAACCACTGTGCCACCAGAGCTTCAAGGAAAATAATAGCTATAAAAAGATATAATAAATAACTAGACGCAAATGCCAAGATTTGAATATGTACTGGGGATTAGGTAACAGTACAGGATCAGTGTTACATTTCCTGATTCTGATAACTGAGCTGTGGCTGTGTAAGAATGCCCCTGGCCTCAGGAAATGCGCACAGAAATATTTCAGGGCGAGAGGGCACAGGGTCTCCTACGAACTATCAAGTGATTAAAAAATATGCACTATATATTAAAAAAAAATGTACAAACACGTGCAGAGAGGATAAATATATCCATCTGTACATGTAGAGAGAGAATAAACAATACAGCAAATGGGGAAATTGTAAACCATAATCAAATCTGGTTAAAAGATGCACAGGAGTCCCTTACAGTATTAAGATTCTTATCTATAAATTTGAAATTATAGCAAAATAAAATACTACCTTCCTCAAAACTTGAAACATAGAGTTATCATATGACCCAGCAACTCTAATCCTAAGTCTCTACCTAAGAAAAATGGAAACATAGTTTCACGTGAAAACTCATACTTGAATGTTCATAGCAGCATGATTCCTAACAGCCGAACGTCCACCAGCTGGTGAATGGATAAACAAAACGTGGTCTAGCCATACGAGAGAATATTACCGAGCCACAAAAAGGCATGAAGTGCTGATACACGCTACAATGTGGATAAACCTTGCAAAAATCAGGCTCAGTAAAAGAATGTAGTAACAAAAGGCCGCGTATTGTATGATTCCATGGACGTGACATGTCCAGAATAGACAAGCCAGACAGAAAGCTAATCAGTAGCTGCCAAGGGAGGGAGTGGGGGCTGGGGAGTGACTCTTAGCAGGTGCAGAGCTTCTTTCTAGGGTGATGAAAATGTTCTCAAATTAATTGTGAGGAGGGTTGCGCGACTAAATACACTACAAACTACCAAACTTTACAAACTGTGTGGTGTGTGACTCGTATCTCAAGAAGGCTGTTAAAATAATAACAAAGAAAATGTTATAAAAAATGAAATCAGAAGTCCAGAGGAGGAGATGGGCCTGAGTGGGAGGAGCCCTTGGAGGCAGGGACCCCACGCCCTCTGGGCTTCACCGACACTTGGCCCTGGATGTTTGCGAGCCGCGCGGGGGTCTCTGTCAGCCTCATGTCCCTCTGGGACGACTGTCTGCCCTTGCTCCCCTCTCTCCTTTGGGCCTGGTGAAGCCCCCTGAGGTGAAGACTCCCCGCTCCAGGCCCTCCTACACGGCAGCCCACGGCACCACCTGTGGCCAGCCCAGCCCTCTCTCCCCCGTCTCCGGCCACACTCACCTCCGGCTGAAGGCCAGATCCATGACCCGGCGCTGTTTGTGCCAACGCTCGTAATCACACTCTGACACCAGGCCCTGGCCGAAGAGTCTGCAGGGACAGGACACTTGATGCAGGAAGCCAGGCGGGGTGGGGGGTAACTGCTATAGGGCACGGGGTCCCCTTTTGGGGTGATGAAAATGTTCTGGAATTAGACAGTGGCAAGGGCTGTCTAACATTGTAAATCTACTGAATGCCACAGAATGGTCCGCTTGGAGATGGTGAGAATGGTGAATTTCATGTGATGTAAATATACCATAATAATGGGGGCAAGAACACACAGGGTGACTGTGCGCCTCAGCGTCCCCGCCCCCCACCTCCATCCAGAGGGGAGGGTGGAGGAGGAAGGTGATGAAGAGAAAAGCACAGGCCATCACTTATGAGGCTCCTGTGATGGCCTCGGGCCTCACGCTGCACCCCACATTCTTGGCCACATGAGCCTTCTGCTCTCACCGTCCTCCCCCCAGGCCTCCCACCCGGCGCCTTACCTCTCACCAAACACAGTCTGGATCGCGCGGTACATCTTGAAGTCCTTGTTGTACTTGGTTGACATCAGGAACCTCTAAACACCCACCCCCCAACGAAAACCAACATGAGCTGGTGCGCCCGGGAGACTCAGCAGTTTTCACGCCCCAGATAATCACCATCTGCTGAGCACCGCCTATGGTGTGAACACATCACACACGGGATCCCACTTCGTCCTCAGCCACCGGCGAGGAAGTCCTGCCTTCCAGTAACACCACTGCAGGTTTCAGATGGGAAAGCGAGGCACAGAGGGCTGAAGTGGGGTTTCCCATTCCAAAGCCCACACCCGGGACCCCACACCATACTGCCTTACAAAGCAGTGAGAACAGGGAATTGGGGGTGAGGGGTGGGGAGAAGCCCCGAGGAAGGACTTCTGGAACATAGGAGAGACACTTGGCATGGGTTCAGTGTCCTGAGTGCCAACCCAGACTCGGAGATCAAGGAAGGCTTCCTGGAGGGAGGGTCAATTTGCCATCCTGAAAGCTGAATGCTAGCAATACTACCAATGGCTAACAGCTTCTGAGGCAGGATAGCTCCATGGCTAGTAGCTTGGGCTGTGGAGCCAGCTCGAATAGAATCCAGGCTCAGAATCCTTGCTCTGTCACTGGTAAATACATAGCCTCGGGCGAGTTACTCTCCTCCCGTGCCCCTCAGTTTCCTCATCTTACAAGATGGGGATAAGAAGAGTAAATCAGTTCTCCCGGAAAGGTGCTGAGAACTGTGCCTGGCACATAGCAGGTGCTCAATAAAGAGCGTTCTCATTAGGTCTCATTTAATGCCCAGTCAACCCTAACATGTGGGTGCGATTTTAGAATGGCCCAAGACCACAGACAGGCTAAATGGTGGAGGTGGAAACTGAATCCAGGCAATGCGGTGTGCTGGAGATAGGAGAGGAGGCTGTGACCCAGGCAGGGGGAAGCAGGGCAAAAGGGCGGACATAGTGATCCCATGGTACACTCAGGCAGAGGTGTGAGGAGTGGGGGGTCAACAGGGCAGGCAGGAAGGCCGTGAGCCCAGACCCCAGGGGTCTGTCCTGTGGGATGCTGAACTTTATCCTGTGGGCGCTGGGAAACAGTAAGGTGATGCTTCTGCTGTATATTAACCCAGCGGCTGCTGACTTCTGTCAGTGTAGCTCCCAGGGGTCTAATACCAGTTTTTCAGCTGAAAGGAAACCCTACAAGTGGCTGACTTTGGGTCAGGAGCCACATTCCAGGGACCGTCCCCAAACACTGTCATCTGTAAACCATGTTGTGTCACTCCCCGCACCTCCAAGTCTTGGTTTCCTCTTGTGCAAAAAAGAACATGACAGTCAGTAACCGCCTCCCAGGCCCCTCTCATAGGTCCCTGAGCACTGCAGTGCCAGCAGCAACCCTTCCTGAACTGAACTGAAGAGCCCCACCACGTGGCAGAGCAGCCTCAGCAAGGCTCTACCAGGTGTCCTAACGGCTGAGTGTCTCCATGGTCAGGTGTCCGTCTGGTCGAGTGTTCCCACGGACAGGTGTCCCCCATCATTGGCTGTCCCCTATGGTCAGGTGTCCTCCATGATCAGATATCCTCCATGGTTAGGTGTCCCCATGGTCAGGTGTCCTCCATGGTCAGATATCCTCCATGGTTAGGTGTCCCCATGGTCAGATGTCCCCCATGGTCAGATATCCTCCACAGTTAGGTGTCCGCATGGTCAGGTGTCCTCCACGGACAGGTGTCCCCCAGGGTCAGATATCCTCCATGGTTAGGTGTGCCCATGGTCAGGTGTCCCCCATGGTCAGATATCCTCCATGGTAAGGTGTCCCCATGGTCAGGTGTCCTCCACAGACAGGTGTCCCCCAGGGTCAGATATCCTCCATGGTTAGGTGTCCCCATGGTCAGGTGTCCTCCACAGACAGGTGTCCCCCAGGGTCAGATATCCTTCGTGGTTAGGTGTGCCCATGGTCGGGTGTCCTCCATGGTCAGGTGTCCTCCACAGATGGATGTCCCCCATGGTCAGGTATCCCCATGGCCAGGTATCCCCACAGCCAGGTGTCCCCATGGCTGGGTATCTCCATGACGAAGTGTCCCCACGGCCAGGTGTCCTCCACGGACAGGTGTCCCACAGCCGGCTGTCCCCGCAACTGGGGATCCCCATGGCCGGGTGTCCCCCATGGCCAGGTGTCCCCCACGGACGGGTATCTCCAACGCCAGGCATCCCCCAAGCCGGGAGTCCCAGGGATGGGGGAGTGAAGGATGTGCAGAGAACACCCATCACCTTGCTGCTTTCTCTGGCTTCCCACACTGACAGCACACTCTACCCGTGGGGGAGTAACTGCTAGGGACTTGCCCACCCACCATAAACAGCCAGAAATCTGGACAGGATGTACAAAATGTCTGTTTTTTGACATTGGACAATAGGCGGTGCAGAACTGTCAATCCTGAGATCAGGGGGAAGAATGTGAGCTTACGATTACCCCAGCTTTCTACCTGAAGGTAGTTTTAGGACCATGGCACTACAGGAGAACCCCCAATACAGCCCAGCAGCCATGCTGAACTGATGAGACAGAGATCAGAGTCCAGGGAGGTCAAAGGAGTCTAGAATATGCAGGGCAGAGTTCCAGAGAGGAGGGGACTATGCAGAGAAAGAGCTTCAGAAATCTGCATAGGGGTCCCCTTGAGTCTTTAGATGAATACCAATCCATGCCCCTGTAGGGTGAAACTCCACAAGACAGGGCAAAAATAACTTTCTGGAAAAGGAGAATTACTTGGTAACTATAAGCTGAACAATTCTCCAAGTTTACACATGGCCAAGAGCTGTTCAAGTTCCCAACAGCCAGCGTAGATAGACCTCACACACAGGGCTTTCACTAGAGGCCTTAGAAGCGTTATTCCTTGGTACAAACAAAAACAAACCGGTTGCCATCAAGTCAGTTCTGACTCATGGCAACCCCATGTGTTGCAGAGTAGAACCACTCTTCATAAGGTTTTCATGGCTGTGATTGCCAGGCCTTTCTTCTGAGGTGCCTCTGGGTGGGTTCAAACCACCAGCCTTTTGGTTAGTAGTTAAGTGGTTAATCGTCTGTGCCATCCAGGGACTATTACTCCTTAGTAAACCAAAAAAAAAAAACCAAACCTGTTGCCGTTGAGTCCATTCCCTATACTACTCTTAGTGACCCTATACTACTCCTTAGTAGTGGAGCTAAATTAGCTCTGTAATAAAGTCTACTCTAGAATTGCCCTAAAAAAGCCTTAAAACAAGACTTGAAAGGATCAACCTGATCTGCAAGTAACTTTAGTACCCACTGTAATAAGTCCAATATCCCTTAAAGAAACAAAACAAAAATCATCTATCACTCAACAATGTAAAATTCATAATGTCCTGCATCCAATAAAAAAACCTCTAGGCATGCCAAAAACCAGGAAAATTTGAGCATAACCAGACCCAGAAATAATAAAGATGATGGAATTAACAGACAAGAACTCTAGAATATCTGTTATAAATATGCTCGAGGATTTAAAGAAAAATATGAACATAAACATGCATGTCCAAGAAGTTCAAAGAATCTCAAACAGATTCAACACAAAGAAAATGACACCAAGGCAGGTCTTAATCAAATTGCTGAAAAACAGTGATAAAGAGGAAATCTGAAAAGTAAACAGGGAAAAACAACCCAATGTGTATAGAGGAGAAAAGATAAGAATGAAGGCAGACTTTTCATCAGAAGCATGCAAGCCAGAAACTGAAGAAGCAATATCTTTCAAGCGTTGAAAGAAAAATCTAAAAATCAACCTGAACTTACGTACCAAATAAAAATACTTTTAAAAAAATGAATGTGCAATAAAGACTTATCCAGACAAACAAAAGCTGAGAGAATTCGCTGCGAGGACAAACGCACTGTAAGAAATATTAAAGGAAGTTCTTCAGGGAGAATGAAAATGATACCAGATGGAATCTAGGAATTACACACACATACAATGAAAACTATGGATAACATTGCGAAGAATGGGAATTCCAGAACACTTAATTGCGCCCATGAGGAACCTGTACATAGACCAAGAGGCAGTTGTTTGGACAGAACAAGGGGATACAGCATGGCTTAAAGTCAGGAAAGGTGTGCATCAGAGTTGTATCCTTTCACCATACCTATTCAATCTGTATGCCAAGCAAATAATCCGAAAAGCTGGACTGTATGAAGAAGAACGGGGCATCAGGATTGGAGGAAGACTCATTAACAACCTGCTTTATGCAGATGACACAACCTTGCCTGCTGAAAGTGAAGAGGACTTAAGCACTTACTGATGAAGATCAAAGACCACAGCCTTCAGTATGGATTACACCTCAATTTAAAGAAAACAAAAATCCTCACAACTGGACCAGCGAGCAACATCATGACAAACGGAGAAAACATTGATGTTGTCAAGGATTTCATTTTACTTGGATCCACAATCAATGCCCATGGGAAGCAGCAGTCAAGAAATCAAACAATGTGTTGCACTGGGCAAAACTGCTGCAAAAGACCCCTTTAAAGTGTTGAAAAGCAAAGATGTCACCTTGAAGACTAAGGTGCGCCTGACTCAAGCCATGGTATTTTCATTCGCATCATACGCATGCAAAAGCTGGACAATGAATAAGGAAGACAGAAGAAGAATTGACGCCTTTGAATTGTGGTGTTGGCGAAGAATATTGAATATACCATGGACTGCCAAAAGAACGAACAAATCTGTCTTGGTAGAAGTACAACCAGAATGCTCCTTAGAAGCAAGGATGGCGAGACCATGTCTTACATACTTTGGACATGTTGTCAGCAGGGATCAGTCCCTGGAGAAAGACATCATGCTTAGTAAGGTAGAGGGTCAGCGAAAAAGAGGAAGACCCTCAATGAGATGAATTGACACAGTGGCTGTAACAATGGGCTCAAGCATAACAATGATTGTGAGCATGGCACAGGACCAGGCAGTGTTTTGTTCTGTAGTACATAGGGTCGCCATGAGTCAGAACTGACTCGAAGGCACCTAACAACAAAAACATCAATGAAAAATGCCAGAAATAGTAAACATATGAATAAATATAAAAGCCATTTTCAATCTATTTTAATTCATGTAAAAGGTAATTGACTATTTAAAGCAAAAATAATATATTGTGGGAGTGTGTAACAGAAGTAAAAGTAAAATGTGTAGGAACAATAGCACAAGGGACAGGAAGGCAGAAAGGGAAGTATAGTGTTGTAAGGATTTTGTATTATACATAAACTGAAATAATACTGAAGATAGACTGATATAGTTGAGAGAGAGAGAGCACGAATAAACTACTAATGGAGATAAAATGGAAAAACAAAAAACAGTCAGTCCGAAGAAGGTAAGAAAGAAGGAAAAGGGAACAAAGACCAGATGGAACAATAAGAAAACAGATAGCAGAATGATAAATTTAAACCAAACCATATCAGTAATTACATTAAATGTAAATGATCTAAGCACTCCAATTAAAAGACAGAGATTGTCAGACTGGATAAAACAGCAATACTCAACTATATGCTATCTGTAAGAAGCCCACTTTAAATATAAAAACATAAGTAGGTTAAAAGTAAAAGGATATACCATCCGAACACTAAGAATAAGAACGCTGGAGGGCCTATGTTAATACTAGGTAAAATATACTTCAGAGCAAGGAATATTACCAGGGATACAGAGGAGTATTTTATAAAGATAAAGAGGTCAATTCATTAAGAAGACTTAACAATCCTAAATGTGTATACACAGAGCTTCAAAACGCACGAAGTGAAAATTGACAAAACTGAAAGGGGAAACAGACAATTACACAGTTATGGTTGGAGAGTTCAATATTCCTCTCCCAGCAACTGATAGAACAAGCAGACAGAAAATCAGTAAGGATTTAGAAGGCTTGAATAACATCATCAACCAACTTGACCTAAGTTACATCTCTAAGACATTCTATTCAACAATTGCAGAATACATATTCCCTTTAAGTGCTCATAAATATTCACTAAGATAGGCCACATGCTGGGCTATAGAACAAGTTTTTATCAATTTAAAACGTTTGAAATCACAAAGAATATATTCCCTGACCTTAACAGAATTAAATTAGAAATTACTTACAGATAGATATATGGAAAATCCCATAATATTTAGAAACTGAAAAATACACCTTTTAAATAATTCTTGATTCAAAGAGGAAATCGTAAAAGAAATTGGAATATATTTTGAACTGAATGAAAATTAAAGCACAACATATCAAAATTTGTGTGGAATACAGTTGAAACAGTGCCTGGAGGGAATGTATGTAGCTTTAAATGCTTCTATTAGAAAATGAAAAAGGTTAAAATCAATACCCTAAATTCTCACCTTAGGAAATTAAAAGAAGAACAAACTAAGCCCAAAGTGAATAGAAGGAAAGAAATAATGAAGAACAGAAATTAATAAAATATAAAACAATAGAGAAAATTAGTAAAACAAAAAAAAACTAGGTCTTCAAAAATATGAATAAAATTAATAAACTTCTTGCTAGCCTGATCAAGAAAACAAGAGAAAACTCAAATTACTATTCCCACAAATGAAAGAGGGGACATAATTACAGATTCTACAAACATTAAAAAGACAATAAGGAAATATTATATGAACAACTTTATGCTAATAATTTCAACAATTTAGATGAAATGGACAAATTCCCTGAAAGATACGAATTACCAAAATTAAAAAAAAGAAAATCTGATTGGCCTTCAATCAATCAAATAAATTGAATGTCTAATTAAAAACAACAACGACTTCCTTCAAAGAAAACTGCAAGCCCAGATGGCCTCACTGGCGAATTCTATCAAACATTTAAGGAAGAAATAATAGCAATCCCATACAGACTCTTTCAGAAAATAGAGGAGGAAGGAATACTTCCCAACTCATCTTTTGAGGCCAGTATTAACCTGATAATGAAACCAGACAACGAAAAACAGAGACAAGAAAAGAATAAATATAGGAACAAAAATCCTTAACCAAATATTAGCAAATTGAATCCAGCAATTTATAAGAAGGAGAGTACATCCTGATGAGAATGCGGGGTTGATGCAACCTTTGTATATCAACCAACGTCACTCACCATTGTAACATGTACCTTTACGCTTCCTTTCTTCATTGAGCATCACGAAAGCCCTTCTGCATGCCTCGGTAGCATGCTTTAAAAAATCTTAAATTGTCTTTATGTTTAAAATTAGTCTTTGTTTTAAGGTGATTTTTTGCATTCTTATAGAGACACCATGGTTGTGCAACTTGTCCCCTGATCTGGACCCTAAGTTGCACTGCATCCCTCTTGGTGCCACCACGACCACCCTCCACGCAGAGAACGCTGAGCGCCCACAGGGAAATTAACAGCACCTTCATTTATTGGGCTATTGCTGTGTGCCGGGCACTGGGCTAGATGGCTCACATACCTTATTTTGGGTCCATTCTAACAGCCACCCTGTAAGGGAAGCATCATCCCTATTTTACGGAAGAGGAAACTGAAGTTCAAAGCGGTGAAGTAAGGTGTCCAAGGTTCCACAGTCAGTTGGTGGCAGAGCTAGATTTGAGCCCAGTTCTGTCAACTCCAAATGATCTGACAACCATACTTAGTACCTGCATGGTAGACACCGTCCTGCACACTCTATACCAATTAATACCACTCACCTCCTGAGAGGCAGTGCAGTTTAGTGGGTAAGAGCATAGCCCTTAGAGCCAAGTGGCCTGGGTTCAAATCCCATTTGCCCTCTTTGTGCCCTAGCTTTCTCATTCTTAAAATGGGAACTAATAAGCGTGTCTACCCCTCGGAAGATTCAATAGGTTAATAACTGTAAAGTACATAGAACAATGCATGGTCCATAGTAAGCACTAAGTATCTTTAGACACTTGATTTGTTAAATAAGTCTATCAATATTTGATTCTCATCGTAGTTTTGGGAGGTAGGGATTATAATTCCCATCTCACAGGGGAGGGAACCGAGGCAAAGAGAGGTAAACTAACTAAATGTGTACGCACCAGTTAGTGGCGGGGTGAGAATCCCAACCCAGAGGGTCTGACACTAAAGCCCCACTCACTCCCCACATCACACAGCTCCGCTTGCAGGTGCCCCCAGTGGCGGGTGGGTGGAGACAGAGACACCACTCCCTCTTGGATCCTAGGGAAGCCGGGGCAGGAGTGCTCCCCATAAAGCCCCTGGGGCCGCCCCCTCACCCCCCCACCCCCACCCAGGGGAGGGGCGGGATCCCCCACGGAAACCACTCTGCTTCTTACCTTGACTGACTCAGGACTTGTGACGATGACCGAGGTTTTGTGGAAGACGTTGACTCGAACAACAGGTCCATACTTCTTAGTCCTGGAAACCAACGTCACCCAAAGGAGGTTGTCAACACCCCAAGATGTGAACATCGTCAGCCCAGCCCCAGCCAGAGAACTGGAAGCATCCCATCCCAGGAGGGGGCTTAACATGGGCCACTAAGAGCCCTGGGCTGGGCCCAGGAGGCCCAAGGACGAGGCTCTGCCCTGTTGGTGACTCACAGCTGAATCATGTCCCCCACTGGGCCTCAGTTTCCACATCCGTAAGATGGGGTCGCTACATCCCTCCTCTGACTGCCCCAAGTCAAACAGCATCGTATTTATGAAAGTGCTTTGAAAAGAGTAAGCACCACCCAAGCAGTGACTATTGTCTCATCACACACACACCCTGCCCACTTTACATATGAGGAAACTGAGGCTCTGAGAGCTTCTGACGACTGGTCTAAGGTCACTTGGCTCGTGAATGGCAGAACCTGGCTTCAGAACCAGCTCTCAGGGCAGGAACTGGGGCTGGGAATGGCCTGGGCGGTCAGGGGTGGGGGTCCTGCATGGAGGGGACCTGGCATGCTGGCAACAAACGACAAGTGAGAACCCACCAATCCAAAAACACATCTTGGAGCGTGCGGCCACAAACCTCATCCTTTTTCCAAAGGTACGGGAGGTGTCCTAGAAGGAAACTAGAAAAAATGGGCAACTTTAGGATCACCAGAAGTCACCATTACAGAATGCTCCCTTCCCCACAACCCTACAAGGTCGGCGCTATTAGACCCACTTCGCGGGTGGGCAAGCTGAGCAGTCAGAAAAGGGGTCAGGACTCAAACCCGAGTCTGACGGGCTCCGAAGGCCTACCTAGGGAGGAGACCCCTTCGTTCCTTTCATCTCCCCTGTGCAGAGGTCAGGGGCTGGCTCGGGAAACCAAAACAACCACACCCGACGCTGTCGAGTCCATTCCAACTCATGGCGCCCCCACGTGTTACACAGTAGAACTGTGCTCCACAGGGTTTTCAACGGCTGTCATCTTTACAGAAGCAGATCACCAGGGCTTTCTTCTGCAGCACTGCTGGGTGAGTTCAAATCATCAACCTTTAGGTTAGTAGGTGAGTGCAAACCACTGGCGCCACCCAGGGTCCTTTGGCACATGGAAAGGGCTCCGTAAACACTGAGTGGTAATGACCTTGAAGAATTCAGTGAACACCTACTATATGCCAGCCATGGTCAGCCTCCCCTCCCCTAACTCTCCCCACATCACCTGGAGGTACAGCTATGATTAACCATGTGTTATTGGTAGGGCTGCCACGGTGAAGTCACTTGCCCACAGGTGCACAGGTGGCACGAGGTGGGCACCTGGTCCTTCTAGCCGGGGCATGATGTGGTGCTGTGAAGTCTGCAGTGTGAGTGCTGGGTGGTTGTAAACAAGGTGTCTGAGGCCACCTGAAGCGCATTTCAAGGTGCCCATGGCTTCCTTCCTGTCTCCTGCATGACTTCATTCCAGCCCAGTTCCCTGCTCACTGGAATTGGTGACAACAAGACCACAATTTGAGCTGTCTGGGTCATGGAACTCACATTCTCCTGGGCGGAGACAGAGAACTACAAATAAGTAAGTAAATGCAGTGTCTGAGCGTGACAGAGAAAAACAGAACAGAGGACAGGGATGGGGAGGGCTGCGATGAGTGTGGGGATGGCCATTTTATACAGGCAGGTCAGGGAACGCCCCTCTGAGAAGCTGACATGTGAAATGACACCTGCAAGGAGTGAGCAATTGCGCCATGCAGGTGTCTGGGGGAACAGCGTTCTGACCCAGGGAACAGCAGATGCCAAGGCCCTGACGTAGGAGTGTGCTTAGTACATTCAAGGAACAGCAGGAGGGCCAGGGTGGCTGCAGCAGAGTGCTTGAGGGGAAAGTGGTAACAGATGGTGTCACCAAAGGTGGGGCAGATTCCGTAGTGCCTGTAGCTGTTGTAAAGACTTTTGCTCGGAGCTTGCTGAGGTGAGGACCGTGAAGGGTTCTGAGTAGAGCAGGGGCAGGGTCTGACTTGGGTTTTAAATGGATCTCTCTGGCTGAGAGTGAAGTGGGGGGCAGGGGTGGATGCAGAGATATCATTTAGGGGGCCGTCCTCATCATCCTCTGAGAAGCTAACAGGACTTACTGACAGTTTGGGTGTGGGCAGGAGAGACGCCATGGTGACCCTGTGGCTTTCAGCCTGGGCAGCAGGAAGGATGCACAGTGCTGCCCCTTTAAGAAGAGCTGGTCAGGGGCAGCAGACATGCTGGGCCCACCTCTTTACCTGTCCATGCAGGTGGGCCAGCACCTGCAACGCTGCCGCGGGCTCTCTCTGGCTCTGCCCGCAGGAGAGGCAGGCCACAGGTTCCAGGAGATGAACCCCTTCCAGAGCAGCCCTGTCACCTCATCTCCCTCGCCCCTGGGCGGGACACCTCTGAGGTGCCTTCTACTGTCTCCAGGAGTTCCCCGGGGCATCGCACCTCAGCTGCCAGAGATAACCTGCTTAATTGGCTTTCTTACCTTTCCTCACCCATTCCTCCGCACCTGGGATCGCCCCCCAATAAACTACTTCTACTTCCACTCTTGTCTCAGGTGGGCTTCTGGGGAACCAGCCTGAGACAAGGGATTAAACGAGGAGCTGTAAATTTGCGTGGCTTCTCAACGTCTGAGGAACGGTCCGGCAGGCCTTAGGCACTGAAGTCTGCAGTTCAGGGGCTAGAGATGCAAATTTGGGGATCTGAGGCCACAAGGGGGTGACTGTAGACGGTCTAGAAGAGGAGAAGCAGTGCGGCCCGCGGCCCCTGCATTTAGGGTCAGGCAGCCCCGGAGGCTGAGGAGAGGCGGCCAGGGGACAGTGGGGTTTGGGCAGCCAGAGAAGAAAACAGGGCCAGGAGGAGGGGCTGGCTGTGTCAGGCTGCCAGGGCCGGGAAGAAAAGGTTGTCACTGGTGACCTTGACCAAAGCAGGTTCAGCAGGAAGGTCGCGGCCACAGCCCCATGGTGGTGGGCTCCGGAGAATGGGAGGGGAGGAACTGGGGCACAGATCAGGAAGTCTCTCAGGGAGCTGTGTTATAAGAGGGTACAGAGACGTGGGGCGGCAGCTGGAGGCAAGGGGGTGAAGAGAAGGGTTTTTTAAAGCTGTGAATTCTTACAGCGTATTATATAAAATAGGAACGATCCAGAAGAGAAGCAAGGCTGATGACGCAGGAGAGAGGGGGAACTGCTCAGAGTGTGGCTGAACGGAGGGCTGGAAGGCCTTGGGGCCCTGGAGCCGTGGGTCCTTCCGCCGTCCGTCCGTCCACAGGGCCGGCGGAAGTGCGCGTGGGCACGGGCGCGGAGAGGTGGGCAGCGGCGGCAGAGCTAGCGGAGGGAGGTTCTGACTGCTCCTTGTGCTCAGGAGAAGTAGGAGGAAAGATAAAAGCGGAGCTGAGGCTGGAGGGGGAGGGGGAGGGGTGGGAGGAAGGGAAGAAAGCTGCCGCCTTGGAGCGTCAAAGCGCTCCAGGTGAGTGACCTTGAATGCACACGGTGCCACATGCAGAGGGCAGGCCGTGGACATCACACACACGACTAGCTGCGCTTCCAGAACATGCCTAGTGTCCTTATGACCACGCCCCCAAGCTGCACATTTTGGGGGCAGGTTCTCAGTGTCGAGTCACCTGAGTAGGGGCAGAGTCTGGAACACCTTCCCCCCACCCGCCAGGCCTGTCGGACCCCAGAGCTTCCACCCTAACCATTGGGGTCCACGGCCACGGGGGGAACGGAGGTCCCCACTGCCAGACAAGAAAGGAAACAAAAAATGGTTCCTTCTGGCTCCTGCAGGGGGCGCTGGGGAGGAGAACGCCGAGCGGGTAGACCAGGTGTTAGAAACGCGCACGTAAGGCTGGAGGGTCGTAGAGCGCTGGGGCTTGGGTCTGCCCTCCTGGGCAGGCAGAAGCCCACCTGGCATGCCCTGGTGAGAGACCAGATATAGCAGAGCAGCCCAGGGAGAGAGGGGAGGGCCAACACCCCAGCTCCTCCAGCACGTCCAGTTTCTTGGGACACTGGGTCTGGCACACTGCGAATCTAAGGTCTCCTGTGGGCAGTGACTGAGGCAGAGGTCATCTGGAGAGCCCACTGTGAGGCCACCCAGAATGATGAAGGAAGCCCAGGCTGAGGGGTGGGCCGCCCACTTGGGGTGAGGATGTGGAGCCATGTGTGTGCCTTACGCTGGGGGGTGGTGAGTGCTCAGCTGGGCACCCAACATCCACTGAATGTGCCACCCATCAGAGCCTGCAGTGGGGCTCCCCCATGGCCAGGACCCCCAGGCTCCTGTCGAGCAGCCCTGACCTCTGGGCATCGTGCAAGGCGGAGCGGGAGGAGAGTACCAGCGCCGCTCAGGAGCCAAACCTGAACAATTTATTCCAAAATAAGTAAAAACTGGGAGGGAGAAACCTTTCATGGGCAAGTTTACATGCGCCCCAGGCCACCGGGAGTGTGGGGGCTGATGACAAAGTTCAGAGCAGTTACAGAGATGTCAGGAAGCTACAAGTGTTTGTGTGGGCTCTGAGTGCAGGGTCTCAGTTTTCAGCTAGGTTACACAGATGGGTGCAGTAGTATGTCGTAACAAGGCAGACTGCTGCCCAGGTTCTGTGCAAGCACAGAGGAGGGGAACTCAGGGGGGGCTTCCTGGAGGAGAGGGCCTCTGGGGACTCCTGCAGACTAAGGAGAATGAAGAGTGTGGGGGAGGGGAATAGCAGCTGCCTCTTGCATCAGAGGGAGCTCAACACTGACAAAGCCCCCAAAACACCAAGGGACAAAATGCCATACAGGAGACTCGCTACACAGATCTCGTCAACCACGGTGTTGCCGATCATGGTTTGGGGATTCAGGCTTTTCATGCCAAATCATTTTGTGCTGAAGAGGTTCCAGAACTTTCGTTTAGTGCAGCTGGATATTTGACCACCAGCCAATCTTTAATCCAAAATCTTTTGACATCTACATGGTTCAGTTCACCTCCTTAAAGAGCCCAGTCAGTTATGTTCGGCCATCTCCTGTCCTCCCCCCACCCACACACACCTGTAGGTGACATGTTGACTCCGTGGTGTAAGATTTGGGAAGAATTCAGCCATAAGCCATAAGCTACAACATGGATGAACCTTGAAAACAGTATGTTAAGGGAAAGAAACGAGACACAAATGACCACATAATATGAGACCCTTTATCTGAAACGTCCAGAACAGGCAAATCCACGGAGACAGAAAGCACACTAGTGGTTGCCAGGGGCTGGGGGGCGGGAAGGGGGAGGGGGAGGGGAAGACTGCTAATGGGTACAGGGTTTCTTTTGCAGGTGATGAGAATGTTCTGGAATCAGACAGTGGTGATGGTTGTACAACTGTGAATATACTAAAAAACACATGATTATTCACTTTTTAAAAGGGGAATTTTATGGTGAGTTATATCTCAATCTAAAAAAAAAGATGTGGAGAGAGGGACTTGATTTCAGTTCTGGCCCTCAAGACACAGATACTCGAGCAGGTCTAGAGTGCTTGAAGCACTTGGGTTTGTGAGGGGGCCAAGAAATGATGAGCCTTCTTAGAACAAGTGCAAAACTCATTCACTTCCAAGTTGTTGAGGGCTGTTTTGAAAAGCTGAAAAGGCAATCATGTACCTAACAGAACTTGTGGAAGAATTCCACCATTCAACCTTGAAATTTATGGAGTATTGAGTTGGAATCGACTCGATGTCGACTGGTGGTGGTGGTGGGGATTTGTGTGTGCCAGTCACTGGGCTAGATGCCAGGACACAGCAGTGAACAAGACAGACAGGGGCCCCATGGGAGAGACAGACCCTTAACAAGATGTTGAACGAATAATTGCCCAAGTGCCACTATTCTGTGGAGAGTTACACGGTGACTCAATTCCTCGCTGTGGAGTTGATTCTGACTCACAGCAACCCAACAGGACAGAGTAGAACTGCCCCACAGGGTTTCCAAGGCTGTAAATCTTTATGGAAGCAGGCTGCCACATCTTTCTCCAGTAGAGTGCCGGTAGGTTTGAACCACTGACCCTTTGGTTAGCAGCCAAGTGCTTTAACCACTGCACCACCAGGGCTCCTCCACAGTAAGTTAAGGGTTTCTAAAATGAGCATAATATACTCAGGGGTGGGGACAGAAAGGACCTCCCTGAGAGTTAACTAGCTTACCTAGGCTGGGAGAAGACCTATCTAGGCCAATTGGAAAGCAGAGCTGCTAGGCAGGGAGAAAGGTTGGGAAGACCCCCCAGGGGGAGGGGCAGCGGGAGGGCAGGGACCAGCGGGGAGAACGGCTGCTTCCCCTTGTCACCAGCCACAGAGCTCTTTCCTGGATCCACATAACAGGGATTCAGGCTTCTAAGGCCAGTGCTTCTGGCTTGCACTGGAGGTGGGAGCCTTCCAGAACTTTCATGTCCTGAGGTTTTAAAAAGTGTATCTAATACCATCCTTTATTCATCCATTCAACAAGTATTTATTGAGCATGTGCAATGTGCCAGGCACTGGGGAATACACAGGCAAACACACTGTGTCCCTGCCCTCCCGGGGCTCACATTCTAAGGGGGAGACAGACAGTCAACAGGTGAACAGTCAACAGGTGACACTAGTCCGACAGCGTGGGGGTCCAACACACGGGGTTGGGGGCTGGGTGGGTTTTGACAGGGAAAGTCCCGTTGGAGACAAGGGGAGCAAGGCCACCATGCCCAGGCTTGAGAGCAGGGGTTCTGGGCAGAGGGAAGAGCAAGGCCCTGGGGTGGGATCAGCTAGGGGGGTGGGGTGGGACGGGAAGACTGGGGTAGCAGTGGGTAAGCGAGAGGGAAGAGAAGGTGCAGAGGGGGGTCCCAGGGTTGGCAGGAGCCTAGATGGCCATGGAGTGGATTCAATGTTGAAGTGGATTTAGTTCTAAAGTGATGGAGGCGGGGGATTTCAGCTTCGGAAAGGTAATCCTGGCTGGGGCAGGTAGGTCGTGGGGAGGGGCAAGAATGGGATGTAAGCACTACGGGGAAGACAAATCAGATACGCCAGGACAGACACGCATTCAACTCAGAATGTGGCCAAAGCGCAGCATGTTCCAGTCCTGGTTGAGTGACCCTGGGCAAGTCCCAAAGTCAAGAGCGCCCCCTCCGAAGCCAGGTCGACCTGGGTTTAAATCGAGGCTTACCAACTGTGTGACCCTCTGCTGACTTCGCCTCTGCGCGCCTCGGTCTCCTCGTCTGCACGATGGGGGTAACAATAGCGCCTACCTGAAGGGCTGTCGCTGCCATCTCGCCGGTCGGGCCCAGCGGAGCGCGCTGGGCGCCGAGCAGCTGCCGCTGTGAGTAATGTGTTACTAAGAATAGTGGGCGCCCCTCTCCGGGCGCCGTCTCCAGCGGCCGCGCGCAAGCGAGGTGACCCCGGCCCCGCCGGCTAGGACCGTCCCCGGCCGATTCCAGGTCCCCTCCGCACCCCGCCCCACCCCCGCTCACCTGGGCCGCGGCGGCCCGGGGATGTGCTCGTAACGGCTGCGAGCGCGGTGCACGAAGGTGCAGCAGAGGCCGAAGGCGAGCAGGACGGCGCTGGCGAGCAGCAGCAGCCCGGGGCTCATGGCTCCGGGCGGGCCGGGCCGGGTGGAGGTCGGGCGCCGGGGGCGCGGGAGGCCGCGAGCCGCCTCAGCTGTCAGCGCCGCCTCGGCCCCGGGCCCCGCGCGACCCAGCACCGCCCCCGCCGCTCGCTCCGCCCACGCCGGCCCGACCCCGCCCAGGAGCGCCTGCCCCGCCAACCACGTCTCCGCCTCCGGCACCGCAGCGCAGGTCCCGCCCACGTTCCGCCCCGCCTCCCCGAGCTCCTCCTCCCTCAACACCTCCAGGCCCCGCCCAGAACTTGTGGTTTCCGCCAATCACAACTCCGCGGCTGGCTCAAGCCCCGGTCTCTGGCCTGCCCCGCCTCCCTTAGGCCCCGCCCCTCCCCGCCCCGCGGGTCCGCCCCCAAAGCAGCTCCGCCCAGAACGCGGTGTCCCGGCAACCCGGCTCGGCCCGGATTCCGCTGCCTTCGCTGCTCTGGCAGCGGCGCTAAGTCAACGGGCTGGCTCCGCCCCCGTTGGGGCCTCCGAATAACTCCGCTGCTCCCCGCGTGGTCCTAGGCCCCTTCGTCTCTCCCTGAAGTCTCCCTGGGGACCCCATCCTACGCCCCAAATTCCCGCACCACGCCGACTGTTCCTCGACCTCTCCCCGGAACCCCAGGTCCCCAAAGCCAGTCTCCCCAGATGTCTCCCCTCGGAAGCCTCCCGGGCCTGGCCTGTCCACTCTGAGCGCACAGGGCCCGCGGTCCCCCCCGCGGGGCCCCGGGGAGGGTGACGAGGCCCCCTGCCGCGTCTGTGTCAGCGGTGAAGAGCGCACGGCTGGACCCGACGCGGTGACCCCCATCCTAAGGAGCTGGAGGTGAAGTGGGTGAAAGTCCGGTGCGGAGGGCCGCCCTCAGAGGAAAGCGAGAGAGGTGCCCGCGGTGGCCCAAGGGTATTTTTGAAATAAAAACCAGGACTTCCCTACCCACCTGGTAATGGATGATGAGACCACTTGTGGGCTTTTTAGTTCCCAAATTCTAGCAGCAGGGTGGAGTGGGAGGGGCAGGTGAGACTCCAGGTGTGCCCTTGTGCCCACCCCCCAGTCCAGATAAAGAGCTTCCGGGCTGGGCGCCCAGGGAGTTTAGATGCAGCTGGGTTTCTGAGAAGGTTGCCAAGCTCTTGACCCATGCTTGGGTCAATCTCCGATAAGTTTGGGTTTCAGAAACCTGTGTATCCCCCCACGTACTGCCAGGGAAAGTAGCCCATTCCCACCAGGAAAATGGCTGTTAGGGGAGGGTGTGTGGGCTCTAGGATGCTGGAGAAGGCCGAACTTGAAGAGCTGGAGTAGTTTATGTCCTAGGGCACCACCGCAGCCTGGGCAGGTGGGACCCTGAGCGCGGGGACCTGGACCGACCTCTTCTTTGTCAGGCTGGCAGGTGACAGATGGCCACGGCGCCCCCTTGTGGTGGCGAGAAGCAGCCGCAGGCGCGCACAGAAGACCTCAGCCTGGCCCTGCTGGGGGCGACGTCAAACGGCCTCCCTCGTGGGCAGTGAAAACTCCAGGGTTGGGGGCAATTTGGAGGGAGGATGGGGCCCTAATCGGGAGTGTGTGAACTTGCTGCATGCTGGCAGGTGAGCTGCTGTGGTTATCTGGAAAAATTAAAGTGACCCGACAGCATTTTGTGTCTGGAGTTTACGGAACCACTCCCTTGGTTTATAAAATGCATCAGGCAGTACATGTGACGACTTCCTGTTGCCTTGTCTCTGAACAATGTTTCCTTGAGGACAGGACTAGATTTTGAACAGCTCTGGGCCCAGGCTGGGGCCCCTGTGTGCCTAAGCCTGTCCAACTAGAGCTAAGGTGAGGAGGGGGTTAATGTCCCCTGGCGTATCAGTCAACCCCAGTAACCTCCAGGTCAGTATAGCCATGCCTCACCCCAGCATTCCTGTCCCCCACTTGGGTGAATCGACAACTCCCAACCGCTTTGCCATCACCCTCTCCTCTGAGCCTCCCAGCTCTCTGGGGATCAGCCTGAGAGGTGATGCGGGTGGGAACGGCGTGAGGCGCACACTGCCCAGAGGAGCGAGGACCTGGGACCTCACCCATAGCCCTCTCTGCCAACCTGCCCCCTGCCCCTTGAAGGCTCCTCACTGTCCCCACCCGCTAGCTGCCCCCGACAGTCACACTTAGGGCCCAGCTGAGGGCTGTCCACTCCTTCACTTGGGGGTGGGTGCCAGGGGCCCAGGTGGCACCCTGGGCTGTTCTCCTGAGTTGCAGTGGGAAACCACCCACGGCTGCTCCCCAGGCCCTCCCCCGTGGATCTTGGTCTCCAGTCCCTGATGGGGGGTGAGAGATCACAGAGGAGCACAAGCAAGAGGAGGCAGAGGTTGCTGCAACCCATCTGCCTGACTCTGGGCCCAAAGGGACTGAGCCACATCTCTGGTCACGCAGCTGGACAAAACAGCGGCCGCGGGCGGGGCAGGCAGGGCCATGGGGCTGCTGGGGTTTGAGGGCCTCCGGGCTGCCTGCACCTTCCAGTCTCAGCTCAGCCCCATCTGGGACAGGCCCAGATACTCAGCTGCCCTGGGCTGGTTTCCCCATCTCTACAGTGAGGAGTTTGGGAGACGATCGCCAAGGGCCTTCCCAGCTGCTAACACTGTCCAGAATTTTCGTGTGTCCTGGGGAGCTGGTGAGCAGGACCCCCAGATTCCAGCTCAACTATCCCTGCGCAGCAGAGGGCCAGAGGGGCAGGAGGTGGGCATCGCAGCCGCCGGCTGGGCAGGAGGGGCCCATAGGGGTCTCCATCAGCTGTATCCCAGCCCGGCGGGCAGCCTACACTGGGCAGGGCCCTGGCGTCTCCCCGCAGTACTTGAGCTGGGGAGAGCAGTGGTTAGGGCACAGGCTGTTTGCATGCATTCAAATCTGGCTTCTCTCCCTGGATGGGTATCCTGTACTGAGACATTTAACCTCGGTGCACAGCAGCCCCATCTGTAAAAGGGGAGGACTCCTAGTTGACACGTGCTGTGAAGTTCTTGCGGCAGTGCCTGGCAGACAGGCCTCGATTATCCAGATCTCCAGCAGGGCTCAACAAGGCCAGACACGCCGAAGGCCCCAGCCCTCACCAACCCCACGAAGCATGGAGGCATGAGGAGCCCAAGAGGGTGACCAGGCCTAAGGCTCTCTTTTGCAGCCCCTACCCTACACTCAGCTCCAACGAACAGCTGGGGGGCCGAGGCTTTTGCATTCGCTGTTCCCTTTGCCTGCACACTGCCCCAATGCCACCTTTGCTCTCAGAACTCAGCGTAGGCACCGCCTCCTCCAGGAAGCCCCTCAGGCCTCTCCTGTTGGTCCCCTCCCACAGCCCCCTGACTCTGCCGGACACTGTCCTATCTGTCTTCACTGCCTGGTGACTCATCTGCCCTCCACCCCCACCCCAGAGGCTGAAGCCAGCCGGACTTGGCTCCCCTGGATGGCCTGGCTCTGAGCCAGGGCTGGGGGTGCAGTGAGGGAAGGAACGAAGAGACTCAAGTGGGGGGGCCGGGGGGACCGCTGACGCGCTGGGCCTCGGTCTCTGGGAAGCCGGAGGGAGGTGGCTGGCGCTGGATCGTCCCCTACCCTCAGCCACCCTGGCAGGGACAGTCAAGAGATAAGAGGCGGGAAAGTGGCTTGCAAACAGTCGTGTTGTAGCGAAGCCCTGCGTGACAAAGCCTCGGTAGTCCCGCTGGCCCCCCCAGCCAGGGTTCAGCCTGGGTGGAGGTGGAGGAATCAGAGGGTCCCCTGGGTTTTGCTGAGCAGGGTGGGATGGGACCAGTAGGGTGGCCTGGTGACCACGACACGGCCTTGAAAGCGGAGAACTCCCCAGGGGAAGCTCTGCCCAGCCGGTGCCAGTGGTTTCCAGGCCTCTGGGGTGGGAGGAGGCCCAGCACCCACCCCAGAGCACAAACATGGGCCCAGCATAATGCCGAGCTCCATGATGCGCAGGCGGCTTCTCCAGCAGACTCAGAACTCACTCAGCACCCCCAGGCCCTCAAGACGGCTGCTCGCCCCTCCCAGGCAGTTGGACCCTTGCTTGGCGGCCACAGCCTACAGATCACCCTGCACCACTGGCATGATGGCCTTACCGCTGGGTGCCTTCCTGTTGTGCCCTGGCTCTCCATGACCCTGACCTCCCAGCTGGAAGGTCCACACTCTTCCGGCCATGGTCCTGGGGCCACATTCAGCTGGTCTGGGGCCTTCCATGCCAGCCATGGGCAGGGCAGAACTGGTCCCCTCCCTCAGGCTTCTGGACATGCCCTTATTGACACAACCAGGAGTCCTGTTTGCCTTTGAAGGGTGAATGCCCTCAATCCTCTGAGTCGGATGGCCAGACTGGGTTCCCGCTGCTGCTTGGGGGACTTGGAGGTAAGAAAAAAAACCTCTCCACACCGACCCAGAGACCTCGCTGGCCCACTACACACTCACGCTTTAGCTCTACAGAAGACACTTGGGCAGGGACACACAGAGCACAGGCCACCACAGCCCCCTCAAATATGCCTAGGGACTCGGGGCCCACAGGACAATCACACTAATGGGCCCACACTCCCCTGGGCTCATGACCCGTGGGCACGCACCACGGGCACAAAGCAGGCGGGACCCTGCCGGGCTCTGGCCGGCGGACAATAGCCTGGCTGCCGCTAGCTCAGCCTAGAGGTCGGGGTCCTGGTGGCTGCACTGGACACCTGCGTCCTCCTCGTGCCCGCAGTTGTGCATGCCCACGCCGGCGTGCGCGCACTCCAGCAGGCTGTGCTCGTCACCGGCGCAGCGCACGTCATCCAGCAGGATGGGCAGCGTGCTGCCCTCGCCAAACTCGGCGCGCTTCACAGCGCGCACAGCGTGCGCAAAGCCCAGCTGGCGGCACACGACGGCGGCGGCCGTGGCGTCCCAGCCGTCATCACACACAGTGCCCCACCGCCCGCCAGCGAATACCTCCACACGCCCTTGGCCCCGGCCCAGGCTCGCGGGCCGCACCAGGCGCACGGCCCCG